AAAGTCCAGCAACAACAAAAGGAACAACTAGATGTTACAAGATATTTAGTGGGGCTGAAGTCGGAGTATGAACCAGTTAGAGCCCAAATATTAGGGGGCTCTTCTCTTCCTACACTTAAGGAAGTATTCTCAAGGCTTCGTAGAATTTCTTTGGGACAGACAGAGAACTCCACACAGTCTAATAGATCAGCACTTGTGACAGCTAGAGGGGGTGGACATAGTACAAGAGGGGGAGGTCATGCTCCCCGAGGAGGCCGTGGCAGTTCCATGAATGGTCGGGGTGGTCGTGACTCAGGGGGAGGCCATGGCAGAGGGAAGAATAAGTCTGCAAGGAAGTGTACTCTTTGTGGTAGGGAAGGGCACACAGTGAATTTCTGTTATGACCTACATGGCCCTCTACACTTGAGGAAGTATTCTCAAGGCTTCGTAGAATTTCTTTCGGACAGACAAAGAATTCCACACAGTCTAATAGATCAACACTTGTGACAGCTAGAGGGGGTGGACATAGTACAAGAGGGGGAGGTCAAGCTCCCTGAGGAGGCCGTGGCAGTTCCATGATTRGTCGGGGTGGTCGTGACTCAGGGGGAGGCTATGGCAGAGGGAAGAATAACTCTGCAAGGAAGTGTACTCATTGTGGTAGGGAAGGGCACACAGTGAATTTCTGTTATGACCTACATGGCCCTCCCTCCAAATGGGCTAATCATGCTGTAGCAGGTGAGGTTGACATCAGTGACAATAAACAGGCAGATCGTACTCCTCTCCCATCTACATCTACTTCTGGGAGGGAGATGGTGAGTGTACCGCGTGATGAGTATGAACGGTTCCTTCAAACTTMTTCACAACATACAACTACCACACTTGCCCACTCAGGTATTGCTTGCATGTCATCTAAAACCTCTCACTGGATTATTAACTCTGAAGCCTCAGATCATATGACCGAGACTCCAGGTGTGTTCTCTTCTCTTTCTGAAACCTCCACATCACAAACCGTTACACTTGCCAATGGGTCCTCATCTCCCATCTGTGGTGTTGGTAATGTTAACATGGCTTCTGTGCCCTTATCATCTGTTTTATATGTATTTAAGTTTCCATTCAATCTTATGTCTATTAGTAAAATAACCAAAGCTCAGGGAAAGTGAACTATCTATGTAACAAGCTGGGATTATATGATATATATTCTCCAGCTTGAGGAGGAGTGTTAAAGTGAGTCGAATAGGGGTAGTTTTGTCATCTCATGTTTGTTAAGTACCTTGCTTATGTGGCAATTTTATTAGAGATGCTCTGCCCCACACTTATGTTAGGGCAGTTTAGTCTTTGTAAACATTATTAGAACCTAATAAACATCAGTTTCGACTAAACCCTCTTGTTCTCTCTTTCTCTTTTCTTCTTCTTCTTCTTCTTCCTTCTCACCTGGTTCAGGTTACTGTAGCTGCATTCAAAACAAAAATTAATTATTGTTATTTTTGTATTGTAAAAAATTTATTAAAAGTAGTATATGAAATATAAATAATTATTAATTATTTAAAAAGTAAAAAATATAAAACAATTGTTTACTCTTACGTATTTATATTGTTTAGCTTTCGCTTAACAAATCCCGTGCATCACATGATTCCCTGCTAGTGAAGAATGAAAGAATAGTTTTTCATCTTCATCCCAACCAAGTATTAGTTTACGGACCAACTAATGGTGGCTCAGTTAGCAAGATCTCTAACTTGTTAATAGAGACATGGGATCAAGTCCTGTTTTGCCACTACGGTTAGGGGGCAATGTTTTAAAAAATGACATGGAACCAGAACCGTTCTAGCCACCAGTTTCCGGGTCGATAGTTTGATCGTCTAGTTTGAACAGACGATACATTTTGATAAAAAATAAAAATAAATAAAAAATGGCCAAAAACCGTTGAACGGGTTAAATGAGTTGATAGTTCAACCGGCTATGTCAAGGAGTTATTGACCAATTCAATGATTTTTGATCGGGGACCAAGTTTGGGGTAAAATGGAACTGGTAGCCTGAATAATTCTTGGGCCGAACGGTCCAACCATTTGAGTCAAGAAAACATTTTTATAATGTATTGAAAATTTAAAAATTAACAAGGCAAGAGACTTTTGACAATTCTATTAGACCTTTTTTTTTTGGTATTTTATTAGACATAAGAGGAGAGGCTTTAATCTTTTTTTTCGAAAAGAAAAAAAAGGAAAGGTTTTAACATTTATAAGGAATTTCAAGGGAGGCTAAATTTTACCCAAAACTCAAACAGATCCCAATCTCAATCAGAATCTAACTCTCAAATAGATTCATTGAATCATAATCTACCACATGATCCAATTGAAGTTGGTTTCAGGCTTTTAGCACTGTTCAATTCCACGTTGCAGAAAAAACAAGCACAACCTAATTTTCCACACACGTTTTGAGTAGTTTTCTATCACAATCACATTTTCCACGTGTCAAGTTTTTCTTCCCCCCACACGACCTGCCTTTTGCCGTCACGTTGGAACACAAGAAGATCACGAATTGCCACGTGTTTGCATGGTCTTTTTCAACCGTCCACGTCATCAAGGTTGTCACGCGTATGCCATAACCCTAAGTGGCCCCCACATTTCCCATTTGTAATTAAATACAGTTGTAGTTGGGTGAAACCTCGGTCGGCCTTCCTTCCTTTCCCTTCACAACTGGTAGACGAATAGACGATTGACGAGGAAGAGCTGCACAAGGCAAAAAAAAGCTGCTTTTGTTCCCTGAAAACTGCTTTGAATTCACAGTCCACACCGTCTCAAGGCTCATTTTACAGTTTATAGCCAACCGACTTTTGTTTTGAGGTAAGCGAGAACCAAATCATTTCTACTTTTTTTTTTTTCTTTTATTTGAGAAAAAATCAGTTCGAGCGAGATAGAGAATTAAAACCCTTTTCAAATTCAAACCCTTGCTCGCAATCCAAATGCTGGATCTTTGAACGGTGAAAAAGCAACAAACACCAAGCTCAGCCCTGTGATCAGCCAACGGCGAAAGAGGGTTTCAGTTTCAGCAACCCCACCATTATTCGACGACCTTGGTCCCCGTCGTGCTACTTGCCTCTTTTAACTGCGACAAAGGCAAAGTGGATTGAAACTCTCCAACCCCAATGGCGAATTGAGCACGGTGTATGGACCCTGACCAGCAACCCATACGCTAGATTTGGAATCCCAGCCTCAGAGTTTTTGCACAAAGATTTGATTTCATCACCGAAAGAGTGTGCATTTAGCTTCCAAGCTTCTTTGTTCTTCCTTTACCATGTAATTGCGATTGATCATATGTATATGCGAACTTGGAAGTCGGTCAACTTTAGTTGCCTAGGACCTACTGATCAGTCCAAACCCTGTTTTCTATGAAAATTGGAAGCTTTTTGTTGATTCAAGTCGATCGATGTTGGGCATCAAGAGTTTAGATATGCCTCCTTCTCTCAACAAAGCTTTCTTCATCTTTTACACCTTTCTTTAATATTTTCTAATTGGGGTTGTCGTCCAAAAGAAAAGATTTTCAAATTACTCGAGAAAACTAAAGTAGGAAGTTGAATGGGCAAAAAGGCATAAAATTAAAAAAATGGTCTGGAAGATTTCTTCTTGACAATCTGGGTTTGGCTTGCTTCATTTATTCTTTCTTTAAGTGTTTTTCTTTTTTCAAATCTTTTATCAAATTTGAAAAAGCTCAATTGTTTTGGGCCTCTTACCTCGACAATTATTTATTTATTATGATTATATTATTATAGTAAGTGTTTAATTGATTTGTACAGAACCAAAAATCTAGGGTTTGAGGAGTTCTGAGTTTTTTTGGTTTGAAGGTGGTGGTTTGCAGATCGCGTTGTTTCTTGTTACGTGAAGATCAAACCTTCGTGTTTATTACTAAGATTCACCAAATGGTGTGTGTCCTCTCTCTGTGTGTGTGTGTGTGTGTGGATGCTCTGATTTGTAGCTTAAAATTGTGACTGGAATTTTTTATCTGCAGTGCATTTCTTTATTGAAATCTGCTTTGTCTATTTGGCATTGTGTATAAATGTCTGAGTTCTCTTGGTCGAGTTGAGGATCTGCTTGAAGTCAGTTCATTCTTTGTAAATGTGATTGTTTCTAGGCTATTAAAATCTCCATTTAATCATCTTTTACATAGATTATATTTTTTCCTTTAGTTTTTATATTCTTTCTTTTGGGCTATGGTTTTGATGTAGATAGGGTAGGGATCCTACTAATTTAAGATCTGGTCTGGTGGTAGAGAAGCAAGTAGATAGCCTGCTGTCTACCAAAGAATGAACAAGAACTCAGAAAGAGAGGAGAACTCTTGCTATTATGGTAAACAGAAAGAGGTAGATCACTTATAAGAAGAAATAGGTGAAAGAGAGGAAGAAAAAGAGAAAAATTCCTGGCAACAACAAGAATTCACTAGACCGAACTATTTTTCTTTTTTCTTTTTTTTCAAGTAATCTTCTCTTAACTCTAATTACAATGACTCTATTTATAGGCTTAACTACAACTTATGAACTTGGGTGTCCCTTAACAGACTCCAATTTGGACTAAGGAGCTAACTGAAATCAACTTCTAATTGCTTGGGCAAAAGGCCTATGCGAAGTCCCTTGGATTTACAGGCATGCCTTTAGGGAGATAGATTGTCTATTAGGCTCAGTTTGGAAGGAGTGCAAATATAAATATGTACAGTGCAAAAACATATAAAACAATGCAAAATACAAGGCTTTTTACTTTACATATTTGTATTTGTACTCCTTTCAAACTGAGCCTTAGGAGATAAACACCTCCTACATATGGGGTAGAATAATTGCAAATGGAATGGCAGGTTCACTAGCAAAACAAGGGGATCTTGTCTCCTAATTGGTGCTAATATAAATCTTATGTATTTTGGGTGGTTGAATGGTGGATCTTGTCCCCTAATTGGTGTTCTTTATGTAAGTTAAATGGTGAGATTGCTTTTCATCTCTTAATCTCCTGTCCCTTTGTTTGTTGTACTTGGGAATGGTTCTTTTTCTCTCTTTTTAGTTGCAGGTGAAACCCCCTTGCCAGTTTAGAAAGGTTGTTTTGCCTGTCTATTTTGTCATTTTGAGGAGCACAAAAAGGAGGGGTCAAATTCTGTGGAAATGTACAAGGGCAGTGTTGCTTTAAACACTTTGGGAAGAAAGGAACCCAAGAATATTTGGGGAGAAGGAGAGGAGTTAGGAATAAGGGTGTCAATGGACTGGTTTTGGATTGGACCCCGTCTAGTCCAAAATCAATTTGGATGGATTGGACGGAAAAACAAGACATATTGGATTAGACCAATCCGGTCCAAAATATTTATTAGATTGGATTGGACCTGGTCTGTCCGTAAAAAAAATTATATTGGATTGAGTTGGATTAAGCCAATATCTGGTCCATTGATATAAGATAAGAATATATGTGCAAATGGACTGGGTTTGGGTTGAAACCGATCTAAATCAAAATGAATTTGAATAGATTGGATGGTCCAGACATTGAATTGGACTGGTCCAAATTGGTCCAAAACATTCATTGGATTGGATTGGACCTGGTCCATTTATAATGGACTTACATTGGACTGGATTGGATTGGACCAAATCCAGTCCAATTGACACCCCTAGTTAGGAAATAGTGATTGAGAATTTGAAATTTGAGATCATTACTCTAAGAATTGAACATTGGGTAAAGACTTTAAGGTGGAGGATTTCTTTAGGAATGGGGGGGGGCAATAGTTGGCTTTTCCTTGAGGAAACAAAAAGTCCTAGAGGTTTGGTCACCTAGTTGGGGGCTGGTTGAAATTGAACTTTGATGGCAATAGTGTTGGCAATTTGGGTCCCTTAGGAATTGTTGGGTGATAAGGGATGAGGGTGGCAATTTATATGCTTTGTTCTCCAGCCCAATTGAGCAGGGTGATTCAATAAGGGCAGAACCGTTAGCAGCAGTTTTTGGGGTACAGAAAGCTAAAGAAATGGGAATTGGTAGATTAATCATTGAAGGAGATTCGAAGATAGTAGTGGGGTGGTTGAAAAAAGGTGAGGGGGTGATTTGGCAACTCGTAGATGAGTTTAAGCTGTTCAAGTGGTTATCAAAAGACATAAACATTCAAACAAGATGGGTAAAGATCTGCTAATATCCATTTATCAAAAAAAAAAAAAAGATTTGCTAATAGCTTGGCAGATGGCTTAGCCAAGCAAGGGGTTCAAAGACAACAAATGTATTGGGCACAATTGCAATATAGTGTTGGGTGGGTTTGCTTTGTAAAGGGTATTTCAGATTCTCACAACTTGTTGTAATTCAAAGAATTTAATGAAAGAATGATTTTCTATGTAATAAAAAATTGTAAAATAATGGAACTGTTAAACATTATGAAAGTTCTGAATCTGGGATAAAAACCTTAGAAAATGGTGAAATGGATACCAACACATACTTAATTTCCATACATGATCTCCGTACCCAGCTTTAAAAATCAATGAATCACTCTTGAGGAAACTTGTTAAAATGAGCCTTTCTTGCATAGTTGTTAAGGCGACGCCTAGGCGGGTGCCTAGGCGACAAGGCACCCTTTGAGGATTGCCTCGCCCAATCGCCTAACAATTTTCTACTGCCTACTATAATACTTTTTTATTCATAATTTTTTGAGATTATAATTATAAAATAGACATTATTAAACTAAAATAAAACATTTTGTGTGGTATAACTCGAGTGTTCAGGATTTAGGAGTTCGCAGAAGCCTCTCGTTCAAGAAAGCAGTGACAACAGGGATCTGGCCAGAGTTCGGGGTTACGATTCAGAAAAGGGAGGGGAAAAGATGGTTCCTAGAAACAGAGGAAGAGGGAGTAAGGGAAAGAAGACATTTCTTACAGAAATGTCTTGTGGGATGCCTTGATAGGAAGTTGTCGGTAGAGGTGATGGAACATTGGGCTACTAAGCATTGGTCCGAGGCGGGTGGTGTGAGAGTCAAGTATCTTCCGGAAGAATTGTTGTTGTTCATATTCCCTTCGGAGGAAGAAGGCAAAATGGCCCGTGGTATGTTGGACAAAATAGATTGGCGCTTGATTGGTGGGAAACGACAGCAACAAACCAGATGTTAGAGAGAAGAGAGTCGATCACTAAGAAGGAGGAGTGGATTAAAGTTTTTGGGTTACCCTTAGTCCTTTGGTGCTCAAGTCTGATAAGAGGGATAGGGGACCTTTGTGGAGGTTTCCTGGGTACGGATGATTTGACGGTAGAACTTAAAACATGTGAATGGGTGACGATCAAAGTGAAAGCGGGAGCGGAAATCCCTAAGAAGGTAGAAATAATGACATGGAACTTATCCTGTTGGGCTTCGATCTGGAAGGAAATTAGGCCGAAGGTGAGTCAGAGGGGAGGGAGTGAGGAAACTAGTGTTGAGAGGGGAGGGGGAAGGAGGAAATGGAAAAAAGGGGTTTGGAGGTAAGTTTTACGGTGGTTTTGTTGACGGAAGAAGAAGGAAGCTCAAGTAGAGGAAGGTCGCTGGAGAAGAGGAAGATGGAGAAGTGGAGGTTGGGGGACGGACAACCCGTGTCGTGCACGGATGACGAAGTGATGCAAAACCCGTGGAAGGAGACGAAATGTTAACCCCACCTATGAATCATCAGATGTTAGACCAGCCTTGTGATGGTGCAAAAAAGGAGATTCAAATTTCAAATGTTGATAAAAAGTGAGAAGAGTGCTCGAAGAATCGGTTGAAAGAGATGCTTCTAGAATGTCTAGTGGAGTTAAATGTGGTGTCAGATAGAAGGATGCTTTATCCAAGAGGGAATCGATAAGGTGAGATGACAAGTGGCTCGTTGGGAAGGTTGGGAAGGGCAGTTTCAGAAGCTAGGGGCGGTCAGAGAGTCGAAGTAGACTATCTAAAGTTAGGCCAAGGTTGCGTGGGGTCAAGTGGGTCTCCTGTAAGGCTGAGCCTAGAGCAGTTTGCCCGGGGTGGGCTGGACCAAGACCTTCCACACTTAGCCGGCCCAAATTGGCTTTTAGCCCTGGCTCAGTCACCTATTTTGTAGGAGGAGTGTGGTGGGGCTCATCACCAAAATGAAGTCCGCAGACTCGACTCTGATAGCACAGACCAGGTGTTGCCCTCTAAGTTGCTCGTGGAGTTTCAGCCAGATTCCTTTCTAGCAACATCGGTAAGAACTCCTTTTGATTGTATTCCGAAGCAGGCTACCCAACCCAATCATTTGTTGGAGGTGGTGGAAATCACACTGTTGGCGGTGATTAGGGAGGAAGCAAGTGTTGCTCATAGAGAGTCCACCATTGTTGAAGGTAGTTTACAGGTCCATATCACAGGGGAGGAGAGGGAAGGAGGAGGAAGGGTGGGGGAGATGTCAAGGCAATCGAGGGATGGGGTAAAGAACAGGCAAAAAGGGGGAGTTAAAGGGAAGGGGGAGGAAGGTTTGTCAGCTTGGGTGAATTCGAAACTCCTGGGTCTGGGGAAATTTCTTGGGATTTCAATAGCAGACATGGAGGTGGAGACAATTACTTATTTGGAATCAGTTGAAAGGAGGTGGTGGGAGGAGAAACATAAAGTAAATGTGAAGAAAGGGGGTAATGGGTCGAAGTAGAACACAGAGATGTTGAGATTTGTGTGGGGGTTGAATGACACAGCAGGGAAGGGGGAGGGGCCATTGAGGGGAGAGGGGAAAGTAGTAGTGGAGGGGGTGTAGGGGGATAAGGTTATCTGATTTTAATGGATATGCCTATCTTATCGTGGAATGTTTGGGCTTGTGCTCTGGACGTAGGAGAATGGTGGTTTGTAACCTATTGAGTAAGTGGGAATCAGATGTAGTGTTCTTCCAAGAATCAAAGTTGGAAGCAATAGATGCAGATTTGGTAAGAAGTGTAGGGGGTCAAGGTCAGGTACAGTGGGTTAGTAAGCCAGCTA